GATCTAAGGAGCTATCCTATGATAAGACAAGCAGCGACTACCCATGTCTCTTAAAGATAAGGAAAATTAAGGTTAATAACTATTCTGTGGGATTTATGCTTAGCACCGAGAGGATATTGAGATGTAAGCTCTCCCATAGCTAGAAGTTGAGTTTCTAATAGCAATCTCCTTATCCCATACCTATGTTCCCCTATAGGACAATGGTCTTAAGATGAGTACTAGCTAGTGGATCCACGTAAGCTAGAAGTTCATGATTTTACCGATGTCGGTTGAGGCTACTTCCCACAATAATGATGAATCAAGGTTACCTTTAAAGTATTTCACATATGTTCAAAGATGATTTTACTTGCATTGACCATGATTACGATTTATGTTTTCTAATCCTCTCATTTTATGTTTTGACTTGGTCTTTGCATATCACGAAAAGTCCTTTTAGCATGATTTTATAACTTTATGCATTGCTATAATACTTGATACACTTTTGTACTAACACATACTTTTGCACATTGTTTCACTAATGTAACATCTCGCACCTAGAAACGACTAGAAAGAGTTAAAATCTGAAAATATTGATTTTTGGAAAGATTATGGAAATCTGGAAAATTATGTCTAAGTTAAGGAAGTGAGTTTTTGCCATTTTCAAATGGCTATAACTCCTAGCTCAGGATGATTTAGGAGCAGTTATTGATATGGTTGGAAATCCCTTGGATATATCTTTCCAACGCCGTCGAGTTTGCGAAATTCTGACATTGTATGAGTGAGATTTGCCTTTCAAAAGTTGGGTTGTTGGATTGAGGAAAGTCCCAATCCGGATTTAGGGAAAGACAAAGTAGTCTTTTCTCTAATTAATTTCCTAATTTGATTTTAGGGGTTTATTGGGTAAAAACAGAACCTAATCAGTTTTGGAAAAGTAAAGAACGCTTAGGGCTTGGAGAAGAGAGAAAGGAAGAAAGAACGGGAGAAAAAGGCAAGAATTCGTCAAGATCATCCAAGCTTGCGAGTGGAATTCGTCGGGGGTGATCCCTATTAAGGTATGTGAGATCTTTTTGTGTTTGGTTAGTTCACCCACACACCAACTTGTTTCAATCCATTGGTTTTGAGTTGTGTACATGTTGAAGAAGTGAGGTTCTTGAAGAACAAATTGTAGAATTCTTGTTGGTTGAGTTGTTGATGCTCGGGGGTGAATTGATTCATATTTCCGGGTTGTTTTTCGAGTTAGATTGGTTGTATATTGAGGGTGAAATTGATCCTAAGTGTTTGGGGAAAGAATTATTGAAGTTAGGGGAGTTTAGAGATGGAAAACGAAAGAGAAAAGTCGGAAGTCGCTGGGCAAAAAGGGCTGGGCGTCGCGCCTGCCAGAGCGCCACAAAAACTTCTCTGAAGTTTGGCCTCTGGCGTGTCGCGCTAGCCAGAGCGCCAGTCAGACTTTTCTGAAGTTTGAGGGCTGGCTCCCTGCGCCTCTCAGAGCGCCAAGGACGCCAGTTCTCCCCATTCGTTCCCCACCTTTTCGTACTTGTTCCTAAGCGATATACCTATGTTTTCTAGTTGTTTCCAACACTCTAAGGTACATCTAAACATCATGAAATCATCCATAAACATGAGATCATGAACCTTGAATCCATAATTCAATTCAAGGAAAGTTAAGATCAAAGTCAAAGAAGTTAAGAGTCAAGTCTAGAAGTTAAGAAGCAAGTCAAAGGAAAGTTTCTTAAAGTTTTCAAGAGTCTTTATTAAACGTTTAAACTTCGTTTTAAGTCTCAAGTTTCAAGTAAAGTAAAAAGTAAAGAGTTGAGTTCATTTCTCAAAAGTTATTAGGGAACTAAGTATTCCCTACGAAGTTTATAAATGTTTTCACATTTGAGCAAGAAAGGAACTATGATTTCCTAAAGAGCCTTTGGGCTAGTTTTCAGTAAAGGGAACATCGATTCCAAGAGAGCCTTTTGGCTAAACTTGAGCAATTATCTCAAATTAAAGAAAGAGGTGTGTTTAAAACACATATGAGCTAAAGTATATTTTGGGAGTAGTATTGAGCACCGAATTGGGGACGCGAGTTCATATTAACTCAACTCTTCATAAGAACCATGTAGCCAACATGAGATTTAATGGGTCATACTTTTTAGATGATCACGTAAGTTAATCTAGTGGATCCACTAAGTTAAGTAAGGTCCTATATCACGGTGAGGTATAGGATGGTCCTTGGGCAATGTGAGGTAAAACGTTGTTTCATCACTAGGGCTCATAGTGAGGGTTATCGGTTAAAGAATCTCCCACAAAAGTTATATTAATTTTATATATAAGTAAAGTTGAGTTTGTTATTGTTTTATCTTTAACGAACTAAGTTGTTCACACGGTTTTACAAGCTTTATATATATATATATATATATATATAAAGCTTGCATGCATGTGTCTTATTGCTTTATATTGAGTTCAGTTATTCACGAGTTGTACAGAGCCAAGGTAAGTGTTCCTTCTTACTCCTTTCAAGCTTAAGTTGTTGTTTAGCTTTCCAACTCGCATACTCGTACATTCAATGTACTGATGCCAGTTGGCCTGCATCTTATTATGATGCAGACGCAGGTAACCAGGATCAGCATTCAGCGCGCCGTTGATCTAGTCGAGCACTCCAGAGTCAGTGGTGAGCCTCCTTGCATTCCAGAGGACTCTTTTATTCTCTTTCCTAGTTTTTCTTATTAGGATGTTGTGGGGTGTGTCCCAACATCCATCTCAATATTATAGAGGTTTCATAGACAGTCAAACAGTTAGTTATGAGTCTCTCATCTTTGTATTGCAGATGTTTTGCTATGAGACTTAAGTTGCCAATGTGGCTAAGATGATATTTCTTTAATTTATTGCTTAAACTTATTTTGTTGATTAAGTCTTCCGCTGAGTTCAGAAATCCAGGCCAAGGGTTCACTTGGAGCTAGCAATGGTCTCCGAGTGCCAGCCACGTCCAGGGTGTAGGCTCGGGGAGTGACAACTAATTTAGGGTCCGACGCTCCTATTTTACATCTTCGTGACTAAGGATTACTTAGTAGATATTGAAGTTTGGTGAGTCCTCATGTTTCGAGGACTGAACCATTATTGCTTATTGTCTTTATATTCTTAGAGATTGTATGTGATGTACGGGTTACATCTCGATCACTCTCGATGTAATATATGACTTTTGAGACTATGTAGACTTCCGCTTCGTTTGACAAAACTCTTTTATGATATAAACTATCTTTTTAAACTCATTAATTCTATTATCTTGTTTATGTATGCTAAGTGACTTGTGTAGGACCTCTCGGGGTCTTATACGCGATGCCACATCTAGGGTCTACTTTGGGCAGTGGCATAATTAAAACGAAGATAACTTTAATATTTTTACAATTTAAAAGTGATATGTTCTAAAATAAAGTGACATAAATAATAAATTATTTTTTTGTTTTAACAAACTTAAGATGAAAATCTTATTTCTAGGCTCAATAAGATGAAAGTTTTATTCTTAAGCACATACAATAAAAACTATGGGAATGCAAATACAAAAAAAATCTAAGCTAAATAAGATGAAAGTTTTATTTTTTTTAGAATAAATAACAAAATCCTCAAAATAAAACATAAAAAATTAAATAAAGTGAAAGATGTTTTCGTAGACAAAAAACTTAATCTAAAACTTATGCAATGCCTATTATTTTAAACACAACAAATCAAACAGTAATAACAAATAATCCAATATAACTTAGGGGTGTTTGAATAAGCTTCTTTTTAAGTGACTTATAAGTCAAAAAAACAAAAGCTAAGCTACCTAAAATAAAGTTTCTGTCAAACTTCTGTAAAAATTAATAAATAAAACAAAAACAGAAAAAAGAAGAAGTCAATTGAAACTTTTTCTTATCCAATCATATCTTGTATTCAAATTAGGGGTGGGTGTTCGGTTCTTTGGTTCAGTTTAATCAAATTTCAATTTGGTTTTTCGGTATTCGGTTTTAGAAGAGTGTGCACCATATTTTATACTAAACTAGATCGATTTGGTTCGGTTTTTTCTACTTCGATTTGATTTAGTTCGGTGTTTTTAAATTGATTTTTCGGTGTGTATAAAATTAAAGAGGGAATATGATAAAGTAACAATTGTTGTTCACTTCACACTTCAAACTTCAAACTTCAAAGTAACAACTAACAGTCTAACAATAAAAAGTAATAACATCAATTTGTTCACACTTCAAAGTGTAGTTGCTTGCCTACTAACACCTAACAAAACAAAAAAAATCTATGTAGCTACTCCAGCGGCCAGCCAACAAAATAACATCAATGCAAACTTTGTATAGCTGCTGCCTGCTAACATCAAGGCTCCAGCCAAAAGACAACAACTATTTTTTTATAAGCAGTAGATTTTTTTACAAGCAGTAGCTACTGTTTTGTCATTTAGATAATTAGATTTTTGCTATTTAAGTTTAGGCTCTAAAACTTAAAAATTGAAATGAGCCAGGTAAATATTTTGAGTATTAAGTAATATAATTTAAATATTTTTAAATTTATTTAATAAAATTTTGATTTTTCGGTGCACCGTAGTTTCGGGACCCTTACACCAAACTCCGAATCGAAGAATCGAAGTTCCGAAAGAAAGAATCGACATCGAATCGAAACACCGAAGAACCGACATTGAAAAATCGAAATAGTTCGATTCGATTCAATTTTTAAATTTTTTCCAATATTTATGTCCACCCCTAATTCAAACTAAACGATTCTCTATAGGATACTTAAAATATATCTGGGGTTAACTTTCATTATCCAAACAACCCCTAAAAACCAAACCTAGATAAAACGGAAGAGCAGGTTAGAAGCGTGAATATTACGCGGTACCTAGGGAAACACAAAATGGACAAAGCAAACCCATTGTCCTTTAAATGGATATATCTCCATCACATTACCTCATTTAAAGGACAATTGGTCTTGCCATTTTAAAACCTTCCATTAGCCCATCTCTGTCCATACGCCTGTTTTTTTTTTTTTTTTTGGAAGGAATGAGGGTTACAATACACGCGAAATCAGACTCGGAGGTTACGAGCATCGACGCACTGTACTATGTTCAGAGTCCATCGCACTCTCAACAGCATGATGTTGAGAAGATGTCATATGGGTCTAGTCCATTCGGGTCACCAACTCATCACTACCACTGCTCTCCCATTCACCATTCCCGGGAGTCCTCTACTTCTATGTTCTCTGCTTCTTTGAAGAACAATCAATTGGCTGTCTGGAAGAGAATACCCAGAACCAGAAATTACGATGATAATGAAACGGGGGATGATGAAGAAGACGCCGACTATGATAATGGCAAATCTGTCAGATTCTATGTGCTCTGTTTTCTCTTCTCTTTCATTGTGTTGTTCACCATCTTCTCTCTTATCCTTTGGGCTGCTAGTCTACCTTTCAAACCCAAAATCTTTGTTAAGGTAATCAAATATTTTTCTCTTTCTTCAACTGCATGGTGTGAACAGGGACTTTTTACTTTTTGTCAGTAGTAATACTCTATTATGGTGTGTGTGTTGTACAGGGTATGGTTTTTGAAAATTTGAATGTGCAAGCAGGGATAGATGGGACGGGGGTACAAACGGATATGTTGACTCTAAATTCAACGGTGAGGATCTATTATCGGAACCCAGCGAGTTTTTTCGGGGTGCATGTAACAGCTACACCACTTGAACTTCATTATTACAAGCTCAAGCTCGCCTCTGGTCAAGTATGTCACTTAATTTCTGCAACTTTCTTTTCTCTTTGCTGAAAGGTGAGGGTCATGTGCGAAAAATTCTAAAACTCAATTAACAAATTAAAACCATTTATCAGTCAAAGGTAAAAGTGTTTGGAACATATATTACTATATTGCCATTTCCTTGGTTGGTGTGTCTCTCGGATAGTTGCATGAAAAAGGCTGCATAAAGTGTGTACCCACTTTGATTTTGACTAAAGTGTGACTTTCTATGTCCTTTCCAAAACAAGGAAATATATTATGCGATCAGTTTACTTTTAATTGTTATAATTTATTTTTTTTAGTCAAATAATAATAATTTTAATTAATATTTTATAATATATTTTTTTATTATATTAATATACAAAAAATTGTAATTTATAGTATTTTTTGTATAATTTTAAAATATTTAAATTTTTTTATTTAGAATATCAAATTAATATAATCTAATTAACTTTGAAAAACATAACATCACAATCAAAAGTGAATAGCGAAAATATTGGCGTAGCTGCCTGCCGTGTGTCACTACCCTATCATATTTTTTTTCCACTATAATATTTTGGGTGGTCTAATAATATTTATACAATTTATAAAAAAAAATGAATAATTTACTATTCGCTATGCGTCTAATTATTTGTTCAATTTTTCTTTTATACTTGTTTATTTTGACAAATCAAGAAAGAACATTTTTTATTACCTAATATATTCCCAATTGATTAATTTTGTAAAAAGTAGAACTTTTTGAAAATCTTCAATTTTAATTCATCCGCTTCATAATTAATAGGGGTATAATAGTAATCTCACTATGTCAATAATTATTTTTCTTAATAAATATATCAATTCAAAAGTGGATAAATAATCACGAACAAAATAAGTATATTGTGTCTATTTTATCGTTGCTATTAAATACTATTCATTTCTTAATATTTAAATTACTTATATTTAATGAAGGTGGCCTAATAAAATCACCTATATAAATACTGTTTCTTAATCCCTGACAACTATTGTTGGATTGAGGTTGAATTTTATTTTTGATGTAGTCTAAAAATTTGACACATTTTAAATATTTGTTGCTTTAAATTAAAAATAAATTATGTAGGTTTAAATTTATCATGTACAATAGTGAAATTGAAAATTTACTAACAACAACAACAACATACCCAGTGAAATCCCACAAAGTGGGGTCTGGGGAGGGTAAAGTGTATGCAGACCTTACCACTACCTCGTGAAGGTAGAGAGGTTGTTTTCGGTGGACCCTCGGCTCAAGTACATCCAAACCAAGTAAGAGAAGAGGAAACATTATATAAAACATAACATCCAATAAGAAAACTAGTGCATAATCAACAACGGAGACAATAACATCAAGAAAATACTGTGAGAGGCGAAGCGCAGTAAACAACATATGGCTATAGGATCACAGATAAGAACTACAAGTGCCAGGCTAGGACTACTACAAACACTACCAACCCAAACCCTCGTAAGGACAGACAACACGCTAACCCTACTAACCTTCAACCTTAATACGCGACCTCCACTCCTTCCTATCTAGAGTCATGTCCTCGGTGATGTGAAGCTGAGTCAAGTCCTGTCTAATCACCTCTCCCCAATACTTCCTAGGCCTACCTCTACCCCTCCGCGTACCCTCTACCACCAGCCCCTCGCACCTCCTCACTAGGGCGTCTGCACACCGCTCTTCACATGCCCAAACCATCTCAGTCTCGCTTCCCTCAGCTTGTCCACCACAGGGGCCACTCCCACCTTCTCCCGGATAACCTCATTCCTAATTTTATCGCTCCTAGTGTGCCCACACATCCATCTCAACATCCTCATCTCCGCAACATGCATTTTTTGAACATGTGAGTTCTTGACTGGCCAACACTCCACTCCATACAACAAGGCCGGTCTAACTACCACTCTGTAGAACTTACCTTTAAGTTTAGGTGGAACTTTCTTATCACACAAGACTCCAGAAGCAAGCCTCCATTTCATCCAAGCAGCCCCTATGCGATGTGTGACATCATCGTCAATGTCACCACTTCCTTGGATTACAGCCCAAGATACTTAAAACTTTCTTTCTTAGGAATGGTCTGTGTGTCAAGTCTCTGAGATAAATTAAATAAATAAAAAAAAATACTTGAGTTGAGACAAAGAGAGTAATACATTCTTGTATAAAAATTGTTTGAAGTTTCTATACTTCAAAAAGACAAAGTTTGTAGTTTCTCATCTCATTTTATGTAATACTCCCTCTGTCCCTCAATTAATTACTTTGAAAAATGTAGAATTTTTTTAAAATATTAAGTTTTTAATTCAGCCACTTCATAATTAATAGGAATAAAATGGTAAACTCACTATGTCAATTATTGATTTCTTAATAAGTGTGTCAATTCAAAAGTGGACAAGTAATTAGGGACAAATGGAGTATTATATTAATAAAAAATCATTTAAAATAACAATACTTTTAATATTTAAAATAATAATAATAACACGCTAATTGTAATTTTACTAGTGAATTTTGGGAGGGGTGGTGTGTACTTATCTTCTTGACTTTAAGATGTTGGGGGTCTTTTTTATTATTTACTAACATTTGTTTAAAATAATTTATATATATTTAGATTAATGTTAGAAGGTAAATTTAATTTACGTTGTTAAATTTGATGCTGAATAAAAATTTTGAACACTTGAAAAATGAAATAGAGGGAGTATTGAACATCACAAATTTCAAATTAGAGAATATATTTGGCAAGTAATTTTGAAATGCTTTGATTAATGACTAGGACTAGTCGGAGCAAGTTGAGCTAGCCCGATTATGTTGGCCAGTTAAATAGTTATGTGGGATCGGGACCAGCTAGGACCACTAATTTGTTCAATTTAATTTGCTTCGGAGCAAGTCATGCTTGAAAATACAATGTATTGGTTTTAAAAATAAATAAATAATGAAAAGTAAACAATGAGAAACATTAAAAAAATAAAGGAACATTATCCTCATTAAAATATGGTTATTTCCCTAATATTCTTCTAATTGTGAGTTAAAACTCACAACATACCTAATTTTTAAGGACCAACAACTCATCTTGATTTGTCAAACGGGCCCTCCTTTTTTTGGGCAGTTTAAGCATAAAAATAAGAATGGAAAAGTACACATACTGTTCATCAAACATAAAATAACTAACCCTAGTTGCCTATATACTAATCAATTAATTATTAAAATGCATAATAAATAAATATGACCCTTAACTTGGTTTCAACGGATAACTATGCTCTTCAACTTTGAGTATGCATAAGTAGACACTTAAACTTAGATAAAATTGAATAAGTAGACACACGTGTCCTACATGGCATAATACATGTCGGACGCCACATAGAACAAAAAATATCCATGTAGGATGCCATGTAGGATCGATGTGTCTATTTGTTCAATTTTATACAAGTTTAAATGCTTACTTGTGTACATCCAAAGTTAAAGGTCATAGTTGTCAGCTGACGTCAGGTTAAGGGTCATGTTTATGTATCTTATAAAAATAGCTTATACGAATTAACAAAAGTTTCCGACATATCCTTTCTCCTTTGCAATTGCTGAGGCTCAGTCTACAATCAAGCACACATTAATTAATTGCAATATTATATCATCCCACAAATTTACGTTTCATTTGTTTTTTTAATTACAATGTTCTATTTGACGTCTTCATCAATCTTTTTAATTTGCATAATCCAAATTCGTCTTTCTTTTCTATATATTGTTGTTTTTTTAAAAAAAAAATTATGATACCATGAAGTATATCGTGTGCGTATCATAGATGATTGAGATTTTTTTTTTTTCTGTTGAAGGAATGAATTGGTCCTCTATGGTATCTTATCAGTATGATATACTACGAGGGCATCATGGAATGAGTTGATCTCTTGGATACTATATCAATATATGATATACATCATGTGAAATTATCATAAATGATTTAAAAACTTTTTGAATGAAAGAATCAGTCCTCTGTGATATCTTATCTGTATATGAATATTATTACGTGAGTCAATAATCCATGATACCTGTTAGTATATAATATAAATCATATGAGTATCATAGAGGATTGTCTTGTGGTTGTCTTGAAGAAATGAACCGGTCCACTATGATACCATGTTAGTGTATATGATATTTATCAGGTATGTATAATAAACTATAAATGAGTGTTTTTCTTTTGAAAGAAACACCAATCCTCTTTTTGAAAGCATGAACCATCCTCTATGATACAATATCACTACACGATATAAACAATTAAGGTATTAAAGAAAGTTGAGTTGTGTTTATTTGAAAGAATGAATTTACCTTCTATGATACCACGTTCGTATATAATATATACCATGTGGGTATCATAGAGGACTAGTTAATACTTTCTTTTGAAGAAATAACAGAGTCATTTATGATACCATGTCAGTATGTGATATTTATCATATGAGCGCATCTTTAATGTGGTTTTAATGGTTTAAGCAGATGAAGAAGTTCTATGAGGCAAGGAAGAGTAAGCGGATTGTGGTGGCTGTTGTTGAAGGCCATCAAATTCCATTGTATGGTGCAATATCAGTTCTTAGTGATGCTAAAAACAGGATTCAGAGTGTCTCTCTACCGCTCAACTTAACATTCCTAATAAGATCAAAGGCCTATATATTGGGAAGGCTGGTCAACCCCAACTTCTCTATTCATATCTCTTGTCAACTAACTCTTAAAGGCAATCACCTAGGCAAACACATCAATTTCACCAACTCTCATTCTTGTACTTATTCATGAATTGATTTACTTCTTTTTTCTATCTTTCTCCACTAATTTAAATTTCTTTTAATTGTTGCTTAGCTTCTACCTTGCTCTGGCCATTGTACTACAATATCCCTGCATGATTAGAGAAACATATTGATTAACTATAAGAAAATATTTTTTTAACAAAAAAACAACAAAAAGTTGAGGGTACAATGATCTATCAAACACACGTTATATGTTGAATATAATTGTTACAGAGTGAAATATGAATTTATTATAAAATTATTTTTTCCTGTGATATATACTTTGAAACCTCAGTTTGACATATAATTATTCTATTGTTCCAAAGAGTATGTTGTCTAATTCATAACCCTTAATATGCTAATAAACAAGATTGACATATAATCTCCTCAAAAGTACTCTATTTGTTATTTGATGCAATTTTTTTCTAAGGTTATGAAGAATGGTTCAAATTGCTTTATTATCTATATGATTTTGTAACCTAATGAACATCTTTTTTTAATGAAAATCAACCAAAATTTGTTTGTTTCAATACAATCTATGACTTGCAATTTTTTCGGATGACCAACACCAAACGTCTATGGGCTTCATAATTTTTTTCAGAAAATTTAACGCAAGTGTGTTGATGTTTTACATTATTTTCGGTCTTTAGAGCAATCCTATTGTGACCCCATTCATTTATTGACTTGCTAGGATTGATAGTCCGGTCACCAGATTTTTTTTTTTTTTTTTTTATGTGAGTTTGTGTGTTCTGGAGCTTTTGAAACTTGATTAATGATTGACTTTGGTCAAAACTTTAGATAGACGGCTTTAGAATGCAATTTTGATGGTTCTGTTTGCTCCAGAGCATCGAGTTCGGTCTAAAAGGATCTTTAGTGTGGGTCCCGAGACTTCATACTTATTATTTTGAGCTATCGAGTGCTTTTTGGCTTAAAATAGAGCTTGTGAGATCCACTCTTTGTCGAGACGACCGTCATTGAAAGTTTCAAACAACAAGTTACGTGCCATTTAACGACATGCAATATTATTTTCTACAAGTTGTATGGCCATCCATGACTTGTTTTTTTTTTTTTTTTTTTGCATGATGTGGATTGTTTCATAACTTATTATTTATTTATTTTGATTTTGGGCCACAACTTGCCCTTGAAATTATTGTTACCCTAATTGGTGATTCGTTATAATTATGAATATGCAACAAACATCTTATTTAGAAGCAATCTACTAGGTCGTTTTTGTAGTCCTTCAATAAGAAAATGATAGAAACTCATGTCAGAGTGAATATATTTTGGGGTGGTGAAGTTGAGTATGGAGCAAGCTAAGTGAAATACAACCGTCATCCTCAAATGATGCAAAGGTTCTCAATCTTTCTCAAATATGATCATCCTCAACACATACTTAGAAGTAAAATAACCGTAACTGATTTGAACTTTCAAAAAAAAGAAGAAATAAACTCATGTAAGAGTGAATATGTTTTGGGTGGCGAAGTTGAGTATGAAGCAAGTTAGGTGAAATACTATCATTGTCTTGAAGTGGTGCAAATGTTCCCAATCTCCCTCAATTACAATCATCTGCAACACTGTTTGAAAGTAAATGAGCGTAAGTGATTCCGAACTTTCAATGGTTATCATTGAACAATATTCATGATGATTTACGATCAATTAATTTATAATTTATGTCGCGACTCAAATTTATGATAATGATTCTTTGTCGTAAATTTATTCAATGTCCTGAGTTGTTTAGTAATTACATCAATATATATGGATCCGGCTCCTCTCTATTTTCCCCAAGTTCTTCCTTGGATTGTGAGGCACATGGCATAGGTAAAAATTAATGGCTAAGAGTTGATTGATTCAAAAATTAACGTTTGAAATGCATGCAATAATTAAATGCTCTATCACGTTGAAGAACCTATCCATAATGAGTTCGATGTTGGAGGCACAACATATCTTCCATAATTTGAATATTCATTTTTCAAGGGATACACTTCAACAACAAATTATGATAGGAGTCGGTAGCCCGTCAAATTATACAAATGGTTTGGTACACACTATGGCAATTTGACTAAAGTGCACTATCATAACTTTGAATGAAGTGTAAAGAACTGTGAAACAGATAATTAAGTAATGGTCTTAGGTAATTACAAAATTTGAACTATAGTGTTTGACAATCTTTAAATCCAGGTGCAAGTGAATTAGGTGACAAACTTAGGGCTTGCGATATGGTATCATGATATGGAATCATGAGATGAAATTAAAGTAATTTTGTTTGGACATGCGATATGTAATTTTTGTGTTGTATATTTTCTCATAAACATAAAAATCCCATAAGTTGTAAAACTATTAAAATAGCCCCAATTGTTTATTCAATCTTATCAAATAAACAAAAATTTATAAAATCGCATAATAAATTATTACAAAGCTATTTGTTCTCCACTTAAGTAATTGTTTCATCTAACTTTAATTTAATAAAAAAAATTGAACATAAATTGTAGTGTATTAGTCTTTAATATAATCCTCCCACATAGTACGGACAATTTTCTCACGTTGAACTTGCATTTCTCGATCATGTAACCAAGAAGACAAACCAACATTGTTACTTTGAGCCATTTGTTGGTCAATATCATCCGCAACTATATTTTCACGCTCATAGACCATAAATATTTCATCAGTACTTTGGTATTCTCGCAAATAATTATGTAACACTGCACAAGCTATGCCAATTTTCACTTGTGTATCAATATCATAATGGTTCATGCCTTGTTTCAGTATTTTAAATCTATTTTTCCAAGCTCCTAAAGTCTGTTCAATCACAATGCGCAGAGATGAATGCCTATAATTAAACAGTTCTTTGGGATTTTGAGGCTCTCTTTCACTTCCTTGGTAATCTTGCAAATGATAGCGTAGTCCTTTGTATGGAGCTAAAAATCCTTTTGTGTTTCGGAAACCAGCATCAACAACATAATATTTATCTACCAGCAAACATTTTATAAAGAATTACTAAAAGCATATGTGACATAAATGAGACAGCTTTGTGTAAATAAATAATATTTATTCTAAGGATGTAATTTAAAGTTACCATATGGCGGAAATGGAAATTGTGACGTTGGTTCAACAAGTGCATTCTCAAGTACTTTATTATCATGTGCAGTACCTTCCCAACCAGCAGCAACAAAAGTAAATCGCATATCAAAATCACAAACACATAAGACATTTTGTGATGTTCTTCCTTTGCGATTATGATATGTTTGTTGCACCGCTTTAGGAACCTCCCCTTCTATATATGTTCCATCAATCGCACCAACACAATCCTATCAAATAAAAAATACATCAATATTAGTTTAGTGAACAAAAAATAAATTGGAAGCATTATAGAATGACTTCATAAAAATAATGTTTGTAAGAGTAATAAAAATAGTGCTTCCAAGACAATGCAAAGTCATAAAATAAATATTATCTCTTTAAACAAAGTTGATAGGAAATATGTAACTAAATACTAATAACTTACACATAAAATATAAATGTGCACTTATTAAGGCCATAAAATAAATTTATTACTCAACAATCGGTTGGTGTGAGTTAAAGTGACTGTATGTTGGTGAGAATAATAAATTTTATGTCGGTGAGAATAATAAATTTTAAAAAGTAATGATGTGATTATAAATTTTATTTACATATGAAATAAATGGTTAGTAGATATAAATGTGGGATTGTTTTAACAAAATATAAACTCGTGGATTAATTTTTTGTATTAAAATATCTCAATTCATGATATGGAATTCCCATATAATTTCATATCATGGTTTTTAGAGAATATGGAATCACATCTCATGATATGGAATCATGAGATGGAATCAGCGTAAAATTGTATGTCCAAACGCCAATTCCATCTCACGATACCATATCGTGATATGGTATCGCATGGCCAAACCCCTACTTAGTATCATAGAGTAAGGTTTTGGTGTCCCTAGTAGTCTATAAAGTAGTATCTAGTAGAGTCTTAGTTATAGATATGTCACATGACACATTTATAACTAGGAGACTGCCTTAATACTTAGAAGGGATGATTTTATTTCATGTTCTAGATTTTGTGATATATCTATTTACAAATGATATGATTTTAATTTGTCTATTGGTCAATGAATTTGTAATGCCGAGGCAGAATGACATGGGTGTGAGAGAATACCACCTCAAGTTTACTCAATTGGCTAAGTTTACTTCAAAGTTGGTTATTATTACTACTACTAAAATAGTGCAAAAATGACCAAAAAACTGGCAGAATGAGTCAGTCCTAAGAATCGAGGGGAAAGTGATCCAATCTGTTGATTTTTTAATACTTTAAAATAATGTTAAAGAAAATTGATAAACATATGTCGATATTCTTTTTCATGAAAAAATGCACGAAAAGTATAAAAATATTTATTTTCGAAGATAATTGATGCAATTCAAATGATGGTTACTTAAAAAGGGGCCCTATCAATTATTGAAGTGCAAAATTTCAGTTGAACAATAGAAACAAAAACAATGAAATTTCATCAAAGACTATGTGTGGTCGAGTGGTGAAATTATCTAATGTCACATTGAATACCTATGTTTGATTTTGTGTATGTAAAACCCTGTAACTATTTGTACATGTATGACTAAATTGACACCGACATAATTTCTTGTACTTGAAAGATTTGGAATGTATTTGATATTAAAAGACTTTGTTCATAAGTAAAGTCAAATGTATAACTGTCATAAATTGGGCAAAATACTAAATGACCATAATTATGGCCTGATTTTGAATGAGCATATTTCCCAAGATATAGAGAGATAGAGGTTGTAATGTTGATCAAATTAAAAGACTTTCAGTCTAGTTTCCATCACAACAAACTTCACACTAGTTTGACTTATAGATTAAGAGCTATGTCAGTTTCGAGAAGTCATTGACGGTAGGATTCCCACATATGGTCAAGTCACATTTATATGATTAGGTTGTGTCGATGAGATGAATCGGGCTTGAAAAAAATGAGCCTAAATCTAAACCTAAAGTTTAAGGTGTTTAAGTGTGCAAAAATTTTCACTCTACAAACCT